GCAACAATTAATTATAAGGAGCCACTAGGAGTCTTTTCTCTCTCCTCAGATGTAGAAGCTCCTAGAGGTCTCATTATGTTAGGAGTTGGATAGAGAGCATGGTTTGAGGTGGATTTTCTCACATTCTCCTTTTTATCTAAGGAGGTGGTAGTTTAGAGAGTCCATTGTGAATGCTCCAAAAGTACAGTTATAATATATTAATATGCAAATAACTTTTTATTTTATTTTTTGATGTTATATATAAAAATAATGTTACCACGTTGAAAAAAAGAAGAAGAATAGATAACTCCTTTAAAATTTATAATTATAATTTCAAATTCTACTACAAATTATAATAAAATTGGGTGTGATATGATTATTTTATTTTCATGATCCAGGTAAAACCTGTCAACCAATGCAAACTTAAAATATAATTTTTTATAAAAAAAATTTATGATATGTCAAAATCATAAAAACGACTAAATTAGATTAAATTAGTTGGTTTTAAACGGAGTTGATTAGATTTTCAGCACTTCCGTCATACTTGAAAGCATTTTCTTCCATTTTTAAGCAAGTATTTACATGCCAACAACAACATAAGTATACGTATTTGCCAACGAGAGTTGGTTGAGTTGATAAGTATCGTTATATTTGCTATCCATGCCTTGATTCGAGTCCCGCTACCGCCGCTGACAATCCCTCTTGGAGACTTGAACTTGAATTGTCATGTGGCATAGGGTGCATGCAAGAATTATGAGACAATTAAAGGCAACCACCACCAAAGAAGAAAAAAATAAAATGCTATGAGTAAAAATAAAGAAAGAATCAATATCTTAGAACAAATGAACAAACCATTGGCATTTTGCGGTGCCTGTGTTATGCTGGTGGGTTAGATGGGTATGGGTTTAAATGTTTTTTGCTTGGTCGTGCGAGCACTGATAAATTGAGGGACAAAAACCCACCTAAATTTGATATCAGAGAAAAAAAATACGGTTGCTAGCTAGGGCTACAAATTTGAATGAATGAATATGGGAGAGAGTGGAGAGGCCCAGTGAGCTGTGGTTTTGTTATTGGTTTTGTTTTGGTGCCCCCAACCACTATCTTTTCTCAATTGTCTAATTGGTTAATTAAATTGGTAGGTCCCGAAAAGAAGCAGGAGCTCATGTGTTTTTGGTTAGGAGGTCTCTATCTACGGAGTTTGCAACATTTCTCACGGTGTGGCCCTAGTTCATAACATAATGATCACCTAGAGGAAAGTAGAAAATGCAAGCATTATGTAATGGGAATTGTACGTGTTGTCATAATCGGGTCGGCTTGGAGGTTGTGAATCAAAGGGACTGCTCACACTGGATATATGACCATTCAATGGTGACGAGACCAGATAGCTAAGTCGATACCTCATAGTTTCATATAAACCATAATCCATTTGGATGCAATAATGATCGGTTATTCAATAGAACAGTATGTCTCCATATAATATAACAGGTCTTTGGGCATCATCGTCAGGTTCTTGTTAAAAGACGGGTTTTGTCATCGATAATGATATCAACATAATCCTATCATGTCAACAATTCGTCATGCAATAAAGAACGGACGTCTTGTTCATAGAACGTATAATATCTCTTAGATTCATATTATTGGATTTCCCAAAGTAAAAAAGCCTTTATATTTACGAAGCTTTATATAATTAGAAATTAGATTACGTATGCCAAAATTACTTTGAATGTACTATATTTATGGTGTCTTCAAAAGAGTAAGGACTTGGGAAAGTGAAAAAGTCCAATTGGGCACGTCTATGAGTTTGATTGTACATACAAATGACTAAAAATAGTGTTCATTGTACACTAAAGCTATGAATTCATTCAATCCTCCATACAAATGACTAAAATAAGTGTTCATTGTACATAAAAACATTAATATTGTAGTGAAAGATGAATTTGATTTGTATAAACTAAATTATTGACTTAGGTAAAATTACTTGGGTTGATGTTCATTGAACACCCTATCTTTCAATATGACCCCGAAAAAGTCATAACATAAAGAGTTCAAACATTTAGAATCCTCATTAAGAACGATTTAAGTCCCCATTTAGATTAAAGTTTCAAATTTAGCAATGTTTAGGATCACTAACACTTGAAGGTCATTGTTATAAATAAAAAATAAAAAGGGGTAAGGTTGATTCTCCTGCTTTGCGGTTGAGAGATAATAGGCTACTCAATAGTCTGACGGCCAAATCCTTACGCATAAAGACAGTGGCGAAGCCAGGATTTCATGTGTGTGGGGGCATCTTACAAATTATAAAGAATCAAAAGTTCGAACTCATAATACATATGAAAAATAGTATATATATATATATATATATATAT